AACACATCGTTGTCGAGAATCTGCTTTTGAATGTTCACAGGAATAATCTGGGATACCGCATCATGTATTGAAGCACACTGCAAACAGTTCTTTGTGCGCGGCAAACTATTTAAACACTTTGAGGCCAAGCCCCATCTAGTTTCTCCTGGCAATAGAAGTACACTTTCCTTCCCCTGCTTCTCTTTCTGTAATTTCTTCAAAGTCTGATTAGAAGCATGCTGACTATTGAATACCTTCACAATCGCTTTGCATTTTGCCAATATTGTCTTCATTGTCTTCGCATTTACTGTGTCCTTTGCCAGAAGATTGAACCCATGAGCAAGACAGCCAGATAGTATTAAATGAGGATACTTTGCCTTTAATATTTGCCATGCAGTTTTCATGTTACTTGCATGATCAGTTACTAGGGCTTGTACCCTGGAGGGACCTGCACTTTCAATCTCTTCGCTCAGTAATTCGGCTCTGTATCCACCTGGATGACGAGAAGATTTGGTAGCAGTTGCTTTCAGGAATGTTGGTTCAGGTGTTGCTAACATAATGATCAATAAAGAATTTCCTTGTATATCAGTCCATCCATCTGACAGAGTCAGTGAATCTGCTTGACCAATCCTTTGAATAACCATTGTTTGAACTCTGTCATACTCTCTAAGAGAGGATGTGATAAGCAATAACGTGACAGTAACTTATATGATGGGCAAATTAGTTTGTAACGTTCCTTCCAGTATTGATTTCCAGTTATGAAAAGAGGTGTACCACCTGCAAATATAGCTCAAGCGAACGTCTCATCTGCTTTTTCTTGATCTTCATTTGACATTTTGTCCACAAAGCTTGATAAAAAGCATGACTGTCTTAAACAGCTATTCATGGTAGATTGCATATCTGGTGGCAGTGATCTTGAAAGCAAGGATACTGTTGCTTCTTCCCAAAGACATGGCATTTTCCATTTTTTGCAAATCTGCTATTTCACTTGAGCTATCAAGTTCCTGCAACAAAAGGGGGAAAAGATTTTTATTTTAGACTTTTCAAGTCTGGCCTCATCCATCAGAAGGAGAAGCAGCAGGGAACTTGCTTGCTTCCCCTCTCCCTGCCACAAAGAACACCCTGCTGCTCAATTGCCCTGGGACTGCAGAGCCAAAGGGAAGTATAGTCTGACCTCTGCCATCGGCCGGAGGACTAAGCTCGCTCTGCTAGGTTGAAATAGTTAACTGTGTATTATGTAATTTTAAAAAAATATATTGTTAAGCCTAAGCCACTTTGGATGCTTAGTGCAAACAGAAAAGCAGTATAGAAATATTTTAAATAAATAAATAATAGTCCAGAGTTGCATTAACAACTTTTCAAATTAAAATGTTTTAAAACAATATAGAGGGTAGTCTGTACTGTATGTTGTTTAACATATTAATTTGTTTACTTGCACAAGATTCCTGAAGTAGACTTTTCTCAAATGATGTTGTTCTACCATTTCATTTTATTAGCTTTCTGTATACAGCTTGTACTCTTTCAGAACAGTTTCTACATGTTATTAAATGTTTCTTCATTCCTGTTGCATTGTTAACATACTCTTGTCTGCAGTATTTACATCTACCAGCTTGCTTCCTTCAGTGGCTTGAATTTCACTATAATGATGCCACACACTAATTTTTTTTCTGATTAAGCATTATGACTACTTGAAACCAAAAGCATTAAAAAACTAACAGATCTTATGCAAACACTTCCAACTTCCCCAACTTAAGAAAAGAAAAGAAACACTGTTCTGTGTGTTTGCTGAACTGAAAGTGAAACAAAAAGTAATCTCAGTTTTAGTTTTGGTTTTGCTTTCACTTGCAGTCTGAAATGAAATAAGAATTTTAGCTTTGGTTTTGATTTGACCTGCACAGCCAATTAGGTGAATTCATAACTTGACTTTTGGTTTGGATTATTATGCGAGTGTATTTAGTCTCCTGTTTACACATCAATAAAACATATATGTACTCTCACATACTTCCTAGGGATAATCACCTGAAAAACATTAATTACAACTTTGAAACTACCAAGCTTGCCTAATATTGTATTGTCATCCATTCATTGTGACAAATTAATTTTATGAAACAATGAATTTTTAGAAATGGAAAATTTCCTATAGGAAAATAAAGCACTGGCATTTTTTCAGGAAAATGTTCCACCCCACATTTCTGTGTGGAGTGGAGGACAGCACTGGTCCCTCTGCCTCATGCACCCAGGTGTGTTTTCCCTTGGTTCTTCCTCTGGTTAGGTGTTCCCCTGGCTGGTCACAGGTTTGTTCTGTACTAATGAGCAGCTTACTGCTCTTCTCCTGGCTGAATTACAGCTATTTCTCTGTTTCCTACCTGTTGTCCTGTCCTATGAGTCTGTTGCTCTGTAGCTAACTACCAAGTAGTAGTTTCAGCCATTTAGCTACCTAGCTGCCTAGTCTCCTGCAGCTAGCCCAGGTTCAGCTGCCTGCTCCAGCTTGTGGGCATTATCTATTATAGTCTCCACCTTCATGTAACAGGAGCTTTTGACATTCCCTGTTACAAAATTACATACAGGTTTGAGCTAGTGGACCCTCTAGTTCAGTGATTCCTAATATTTTTAGACTCAGACTCCTTATTAGATTCAAGATGCCTCTTGGAAAATGTCAGCTCTTAGCTTTCACGTTTTTAACTATGGAAAAATAATAGAGTAATTTTCCTGTTGCAAAAAACTCAGACCACAGCAAGACAGAATTGTTTTAATATTATGGACTTCTTTTTGGGTTTATCTCATGAATCATTTTTGCACACCTAACGATGTTAACTTTGTGTGGTACCCTGTGGCATCCTTGGAAGGCACGCTAGGGTGCTGCAGCACTTGTTGAGAATTACTGCTGTAGTTTAATAGCAGCTTCATTGCTGAGAGGTACTGTTCCTTAGCTATGACTGGGAGTGGGGAGTATGCCCTAATGGGAGTACAGTAGACATCCTTTTTTAATTTTTTGTTCCAGAAAAAGTTCAGGCATCCATAAAACCATTCCTAGATAAACTGCATGCTTAGAATTCCAAGCAAGAAAAGGGTCCTAGGTTGGAGGGCATTCTGAACACTTTCCATTTACATAAAAGTGAGAGAATCAATGAGAAGTTGGCTTTTTTAGGGGAAAGTCAGAGCTTTGGAGAAAGTGGTGTCCAAGTTACTAATGGCACTTAATTATTCATGCCAATTACTGTTGACTAGAGTGATTCATGCAATCAGCCTGTTCCTGTATGCTAGACTTGCATGAGAAATGTCCTGATTTCTATTGTCAGTGAACCTCTGTAGTTCTGTTTTAATACAACTAAAGTGGTAAAGCTAAGGTATCTGAAACATCTGACTTGAAAACAGAAAACAAAAAACATGCAAGTTAAGGCTTTATTTTGTTTTATTTATTCTCTATTGCTTTAAACTGCCCTGAGCCTTTGTTGGGAAGGTTGACGTACATTGCGTAAATAAAATTAACATGGTTAGCTAAATTGTCCTGTGAAGTGCTTGGATCATGTGCTCTAGTGTCCCTCAGCTTCTATCCTGAGCCACTGCAGGCATGTGCCTGCATTTCTAGGATGTCTGCGTGGTTACAAATCAGTTTAGCCTAGCCAGGCTAGACTAACCTGCAGAGTTTGAATCAATTCAGGCTCAGGCTTTTTGAAGGTCTGTCCCTAGCCCAAACGATTAGATCGGGGTTGGCTACCCCTGACACGCATGCCGAGCATGGCACGCAAGGCCATTTTGCTTGGCACACTGCGGCCAGCCCCGGCTCTGGGTAGCTGCTGCCAGCGACAGAGCCCAGGCTGCTCCCAGCAGGGCTTGCAGTGTCTCAGCTGCCTGCTGGGAGCAGCCTGGGATCCCAGCTGGCAGCAGCTACCCCGGGGTGGGCAATTATTTCAGGCGCTGGGCCCCACCGCCCAGGGGCTGGCTCCAGCCGGGAGGCTCCAAACAGCTGTGCCAGGCTCCGGCATCAGCTCCGCACCAGCGCATGCAGGTGCACCTTGGAGTGGGCAGTGGGGGAGGGGCCTTAAGCAGCGCAGCCCTGGTCTCTCCCCCGCTTCCGGCACAGAGGTGATGAGCCCGGTGCACTTGTTTGTAGCCAACCCGGGGTCTGAACAGCTGCAGCAGGCAGGCTGCAAACAGCTGCACCGGGCTGCCCCGCTGTCTGTCCCAAGGTGCCCATGCAGTCACCGCCAGCACAGAACTGATGCCAGAGCTGTGCAGCCCGGCGCAGCTGTTTGCACTCTGCCCGCTGCTTGCTGCAGCTGCCCAGACCCCTACAAACAGCTGCGCCGGGCTCATCACCTCTGTGCCGGGATCGGGGGAGAGACCAGGGCTGTGCTGCTTAAAGGCCCTCCCCCACCGCCCACTCTGAGGTGCGCCTGCACATGCCGGTGCGGAGCTGATGCCGGAGCCCGGGGTGCTCCCAGCAGGGAGCTGGGACGCTGCAAGCCCTGCTGGGAGCAGCCCGGGCTCCAGCAGCTACCCAGAGCCAGAGTAGCTGCTGGCAGCCACAGAGGCTGTGGGGCAGTAGGGCTGGGGGGCAGGGGCTTTGGGTGGGGGGGCAAGGGGTCCAAGCAGGACATTGTTCCATGTACCCTTTGCCCTCATTTTGTTTTTCTGCCATGCTGGCACTCCGGCACCTTCCGAGGTAGTCATTGTGGTGTTTTTCAGCACTCCGACCAGAAAACATTGCCTACCCCTGGTTTAGATTATGGATTGGATAGGATGGTTTGGATAGGGGTGATCCTGCCTCGGGTATGGTGTTGGACTAGATGACCTCTGGAGATCCCTTCTAGCCCTACTTCTCTGTGATTCTATATGTACAGCACTTAAAGCAGGGATAAGGGCTAAACTTACACATTTCTTATTAAAAGACAAACCTCCCTAATGCACAAAACCTACGTTGGCGCTACCCCTGCCACGTATTTTGTGTAATTAGGTATTCTGCATCTTTTCTTAGTTCTGGATGCTCTCTAAATTACACTTGCTCTGATCTTCCTCAGGTATGGAAGATTCAGAGTGGGCAGTGTCTGAGGAGATTCGAGCGAGCACACAGTAAAGGTGTCACCTGCCTGAGTTTCTCCAAAGACAGTAGTCAGATTCTAAGTGCTTCTTTTGATCAGACTATCAGGTAAGTTATACATTGAGTGTAGTCTGAGCTGTTTTGCATAGGAAGCTGTAAGCTTTAGGTCCTTCCTTTGGAGCCCTTCCCAGTAGCCTCTTGTGGTTTCTTTTTAGTTTGACCTGAAAACTGGTTCTTGGTGTCTGATGTTAATAATAATGAAATAACTTGACTCTTGCTTTTGAACACTTCCATTCTTTCTGCTTCATTAACCTATTTGGATTCCAGCGTTTGGAGCAAGTAGTGCCTATCCTGTGTCCTCTGTTTAAATTGGTTTAGAAGCATTTACTTTTCCTTGTTTCAGCAGCAACCATTTCAGCAATAGGCTATCTATCCCCTCCCAGGAGGCCCAGTTCAGTACCTTTCACCGTCTTAAAATAAAATCTTATAATAACTGTTGAAGAAACAAGCTAAGGGCCACAGCTAGTACTGTATGGTCCCAAGGGTTAGTAGGAGATGGAACCATTTTGAGCACCAGTTGAGACTGAACATAATTGCAACCATTCAGCAGCCTTTAGTGGGTCACATGTAACCATGTCTATCATAATTCATTTGGTTGTTGTTATAGAGAAGAAGCAACAGCACAGAAGAAAGCTCTTAGGAGAAAGTACTTAGGAGCTAGCCAGGCAGCTAAATTTCCTGGCCCTAGGAACTGAAGCACTGATTCTGCTTTCTAGGAATAAATGGAGTGGGGACCTTTTCCCCTGCTTCACAGCCTCATTGCCGTATCAGGAATCGGACTTCCTAAACCTATCCCAAACAGCACAGTGTCCCAGTGTCTGCTGTGACGCACTCAAGCAGTGAAACTGTTTCCCAATGGGGCTGGCTTGTGAATGAAGGACTGGGCCTACTAAACAGCAGAACTTGCTTTCCTAAGAAAAGTGACCACAGAATCCATCACATTCAAAGATGAAAGCCAGATATCTTCCCACTTCACCTTCCTTTAAAGCTCTTGTATATCTCTGTTCCCTGAGTAATTCCTAGGCAGGTTATTTCTCCTACAGTCTGGGAATGAAAAGACTTAGGTACTTTAATGTTACTCAGGTGCTGAAGTCACTGTTGTCATACATACCTAAATTACCATGTAGGTTGCCATGTTGGTAAAAAAAAAAAAAAAAAAAAAAAAAAATGTTCCATCGTGCTGATTGACTGACTGACTGAGTCTTAACTGCACTGGAGCCATGGAACTGTCCTTCTTTGTGCTTCATATTAGTCAGAACTGAATCATGGTGTGTTGTACTGTTATCTTAGGCAGTCAATAAAGCTTAAGTTTCTGTTGCCAACAGCCTGGTTCTTATGGTCATTAAATTCAGTTGAAAATCAAATGAAAAGGAAGCTGCCATGTGTCCTGTAACCCATTAATCATTTGTAAAATTCTTAAGCTTTAAAAATATTTCTTCCATTTATGTTTGTCTTTTTCATTTACTCACTGCTTTATCTTAAAATGTTATGTTATCACTGCATCTGAAGAAGCTGTAATCAGTTTGTTTATTCTACTACTTTCTCTGTACGTTAGATATAAATTAAATTGTCTTCAAGTTGTCTGTAGTTTAATGGCTGTATTAATGTGGTGTTATTGCATAACAGGATTCATGGCTTAAAATCTGGAAAAACCTTGAAGGAATTCCGTGGTCATTCTTCATTTGTCAATGAAGCTACTTTTACACAGGATGGTCACTATATTATCAGTGCGTCCTCTGATGGCACAGTGAAGGTAAAATGACTGTTAGCTCTGAAGAGTACTGTATATATTCTTTTGCATGTTGTAGCAATAACTAAGTGAAGTTATCTCAAAAGTAAAATATCCCTAAAAATACCTATAGTCCAGGACTTAACTATAGCCACTTTCTTTTCATTATATGCAGCAGACTGTTGATGGGGGACAGGTGGTAGCATTGTTTCTTCGTTTTCAGAGTGCTACATTAAGTACATTTTGATTCTTCCCAGAAATATGTGCTCCTCTACTTTGCCAAAGCAACACATGACCTTATCTGTGTCTTTTGATAAGAGACTTGACAGTGGTGTCATTTTTTAAGGTAAAGAGGAAGATAGAGAGTATCTAAGCTCAAAAAATGGGGCTTTTATCACACATTAGGTACCCTTGCCTGTTTCTCGGGCAGTGACAGAGTTCATGCTGGCATGGAGTGAGCAGAATGCTTAACTGAAATTAACTAGAAATTTCTATCTTGAGTTTCCCTTTTCCCTAATCTTAGTAAACTAGGGAATCCCTCCAGTTTTGTTTAAAAGGAATTAAGTAATCTACATGATACAATAGGGTATAGTATAGTGTCAGCAGTGCTGTGCTTGCTACAGAACCTCTGGTGAAAATTCTCTAGACAGTGGTTTATGGGAGATTGGATGAGATTTATTGCAGTGGTCTTTTAAATGTTATGGCTATGTCCAAACAAGTGCAGGTATGTGGTGTTACAGATATGTCTGCAGCACCACATACTGCAAGTTCAGTTGTTCTCCATGCTGCAAGGGAGCAGCATCGTGGGTTTTTTTGACTCCTAAACATCCAGGGATCAAAAAGCCCTACAAAAAAAATTTTAAAAAGCAGAGCGGCGCACACAGGGGCAGTGTGTACTGCTCAAAACCAGAGCTGGGCTGACTGGAGCTGCACTCCAGCTGCTGGTCAATCTCCACGCAGCAGGATTGCCACTGCTGCAGCTCCAGGAGGCCCCCAGTACTCCAGGTAACACTGCCCCCAGCCCAGTGCTGGCCCAAGCCTCCCCTACCCCACCCAGGGTAACTTGCCACTACTGCTAGTTGTCCCCAGGGAACCAAACATCCACATGTGCAGATGTGGCCTTTGAGTCTATCTAATTACTCTTCCTTGTGTTTCTTCTTCTCTTCCTGTTTAAGTTCCAATAGCACACACTCAAAAAACATGATTCCTTTTGGATTACGATACAGTAAAATACAGTTGTGTGCCTGATTTTTTTTTTTAATCATTTTCTTTATCTTGTTCATAACAGATCTGGAACGTGAAGACAACAGAGTGCTCAAACACCTTCAAATCTCTTGGCAGTACTGCAGGAACAGACATCACTGTGAACAGCGTGATTCTGCTGCCTAAAAATCCAGAACACTTCGTTGTCTGTAACAGGTCAAACACAGTTGTCATCATGAATATGCAAGGACAAGTACGTGATCCTACTGACATTTCTTTCGAGTGGCTTAATGAATGGTAGATTTATTAAGATTCTGTTCTTTCCGGTCTGTAGGTAATTGGCTATTGGGTTATACCAGGGGTTATCAACCTCTTTAGACTTAAGTCACCCTTCACTAAATGGCAGCTCTTAGTTTTCACTCTTTTTCTCGCTTGTTTTACTAAAGAAAAACAATAGAACACTTTTTCTTCTGCAGAGAACTCGGACCACAGCTATGGATTTCTATTTGAAATCTCTGGGTTTATCTTATAGATCATGTTTGTAAACCTAACAGTGTTAATATTGTTAGGAGCACATTGTATCACCCTTGAAAGGATCCTGAGGTGCTTTTGCACCCTGGTTGAGAATTACTGGACTAGACTTTGAAATACCCACTTCTCTTCCTTCACTGGAAGCTGCCAGACCTTCTGAAAATCAAACCAGTTATTCAGGGACTGTAGTCGGAGCTTAGGAAGACACAGATTCCAATTTCGGTCATCATTTTGTTAAAACCATGGTCTGACATCTAAATAGGAGTTAACTGTGTTTGAATTGTTAATCCCAAAAATGTAGTGCTGTTACAACAATTTAATTTAATAATGTTTTTTGGGGGGGGGTGTCATCTTAGATTGTAAGAAGCTTCAGCTCTGGTAAGAGAGAAGGTGGTGACTTTGTCTGCTGTGCCCTTTCCCCACGTGGAGAATGGATCTACTGTGTTGGTGAGGATTTTGTGCTCTACTGTTTCAGCACAGTGACCGGCAAGCTGGAGAGAACTCTAACAGTGAGTATTTCACACAAGCTGTGTTAAAGTGGTTTCTCTTACATATTCTAAAACATAGGTAAAAGAATAATGCTTTACTGCTCACTATCCTCCATCATAAGCTACCAAAACTGTGGCAAGGGTGATGTTTCTGAGTGCCCAGAACTTTTAATACAAGGGGTGACCAAGCCAGGAAATACAGGTTAAGTTTTCTTTGGCATTAGAGGCCGTTTATAGATGTTACTTTTTTTTAGGTTTAATCTGGACTATAACCATCACTATGTGCATGTGGATGTCTGTAGTCCGAATTAAAATTGGCTCCAGTCCAAATGAACTAATCCTCATTGAATGAAGATTAAAGTTAATACAGACTAGGGCAGTCTGAACTAGGCAAGTTAAACTGTATTAATTAATTTGCTTTTGCTCATGTCTACCATCAGGTGTAGCAAGTGAATGCAGTTTTGTGACCCTGAAGTGCAGAAATGCACAAAAACCTCCCTGATGGTCAGTGATCATCGATTAACCCTTAATTTGAATTGAAATTTGGTTGTAACTGTGTGATGTAAATCAGTTAACATGGTTTAGAAAAATGGTGAGAACATCTACAAATGGCCAAAGAGACCAGTAACCTCTCTATCACTGTACTCTGCATTACTGAGTGTCTCTGAAACTGTACCCTATCATTCTGTAGCATTTGTTTAAGAAGAAAGGTATTTGGCTTGTAGTAATACACAGAATATTTGCATTAATTTTCTTTCTGGTTGTCCTCTAGGTTCATGAAAAGGATGTAATTGGCATTGCTCACCATCCCCATCAGAACTTGATTGCTACCTATAGCGAAGATGGCCTCTTGAAACTGTGGAAACCCTAATTTTTTGTTTTTAATTAGCTTCAGAGTACACATCTTAGTGACAAAGGTGGTAGCAGTCATGCTTTTATAACATCCAAATGTATAATTTTGTGTAACTTTTTTTAGTTCAAGTGCCCGGAAAGAACTGTTTTAATACTTGGTATAAACTAGTTGTACATTGTAGGTTAGTAAAATCCTTTCATTAATATTGTACCTGACTAAAGCAGTTGAGTTTCTGTGGAAGTGATTATTCTGTCTCATGAAGTCCACATTTCCTTTGTGCTGTTTTATAAAAGTAAATGAAAGAGAACTATATGTTTTATAAATAGTTGTTCACTTCTTAAAAATACAAAAGACTGTTTATTTCATTTAATGAAGGAAAAACTCTCCTCCTGCGAAAATAAAGACACAGTGTATATGGAAAATAGCTGATGCCAAGCTGCCTTATATTCTGAGGGTAGGAGCATTTTAGTATAGTAGGGCAGTGGTGTTCAACCTTTTAAAGTAGAAGATCACCTTTCGCATTTAAAAGCAACCCAAGATCTACCTCACCCCTGCCCAGCAGGTAAGTCTGTGGGGAGGGAAGGGGGGGGCAGGTCGAGGCAGAGGGAGAACAAATTATTTGGGGGCAAGCCTCCCCAGCTGGTAAGACTGCGTGCCCCCCCATCCCTGTGGCCCCCAGACAAGCCACTTGCAGTTCCATCCCACGCCCTGGCTGTACAGGGCCTTACCCCTGCTTCAGCCCCAATTCCTCCCTCCTTCGCAGCTGCTGCAGCCACCCACACTGCCCAGCGTTTAGGAGGGGACACGTGCCCTCCCCCATCTGTATGCAGCGATGGCAGCTGCAGTTGCTGGCTGGGCTTTGCACCCCAAAACCCGCTGCAGGTGACCTGGGAATGGCCTGATGCCACGTGCATCCCATCGCTTGGCTGAGCCTTATCCCCTGCCTGCCCACAGCGGTGGGACACACGTGGTATCAGGCTGCTCCCAAGCAGGCTGCAGCAGGGCTCGGAGTGCAAAGGCCAGCCTGCAACTGCAGCTGCCTCCACTGCATACAAATGGGGGAGGGGCACGTGCCCCTTGGGGCCTCCAACAGGATGTGGCAGGAGCCTCAGCTACTGCCTCTGGATGAGCCACCTGGGGTCGATCCTCCCACTGCCCACCCGGCCAGGCCCCACTCAACTTACCCCTACTCCTGCCTCTACAGCACCGTCCCTCACCCATGGACTGACTTGCTGGGCTAGGGGTGGGGCCTCCCACTGCAGCCTCTAATAGTCTCCAAGAGGCTCTGAGATCTATTGGTTGATCGAGATCCACCAGTTGGTGACCAATGCAGTAGGGTTTGTTCCTGCTTTTGTTTTTTTTTCACGTTCTACCAGGTATCCACCTAGCAAAGAGGTGTCCTTGCTTTCATAAGCAAAACATCCTTTTTCACCTACTTAAGAAAGGTTACTTGGCAATAAGGTGGGTGGATGTTGGCAGGTGAGGGTGCCTTTGCTTGACACACAAGCACTGTCTGCTTCCTCTCTCATTGCTTCATGCTGTTTTCATGACTATCTGCAAGAACAGGCTGAAGATGGTCTCAGAGGATGAGTATGTGGTTCAGGCTTTTTCATAAATTTAAATTATTTTGGCTGAGTCCCCACTTCCTGGCAGGATTTGAATTCCACTTGAATCCCACTGTTGACCCCAGACTTAATTAGTCTTAATTAAGTGCCTAATCAGCAGCTGCTACCTAGTCCAGGTCAATAAGGGGTGGTTTTTGACCCCCGGCAGGTTAACCAGGGCATATCTGATCACTGCCTAGTTAACCCAGCAATAGGTGAGCCATGATTAATTAGAACACTCACACAGGATATAAACTGAAATGAATAGAAACAGTTTATTGTAAAATCACAAGCAACAGATAAGTATAACAGTTTAAAATACATTCTCACACTACAAATACTGATAGCAAATTCAACTATGAATAATCCTATTCTTATCTAAGTAATAACTTATCTAACAACTCTTATGATTAACAGTATAATCCAGACTCAGGAAAAAGGGAGGGGAATTTTATTAATGGAGAAGAGATTTATTGTACTCCAGCTGCCAATCACCGACTCTGGTTTCTGTCCTCTCAGCCCTTGAGCTGCTGTTGACTAGTTCATAGGTGTAGGGTCGGAAGGGACCTGAGCAGATCATCCAGTCTGACCACCTGCCCTGGGCAGGAATGAATACTGGGCTTATATGACCCCTGATACATTTAAGCTCATATGACCTCAGCTAGGTAATTATCAAGTCTCCTCTTAAAGACCCCCAGGGTAGGAGCAAGCACCACTTCTCTTGGAAGCTGGTTCCAGATCCTAGCCACCCTGACTGTGAAGTAGTGCCTCCTGATGTCTAGCCTGAACCTACTCTCAATCAACTTGTGGCTGTTATTCCTTGTTACTCCGGGAGGTGCTTGGAGGAACAGGGTCTCACCCATTCCTTCCTGGTCCCCCCGATAAGTTTATGAATGGCCACTAGATCCCCTCTCGGCCTTCTCTTGTGGCTGAACAGGTTCAGGTCCTGTAGCCTCTCCTCGTAGGGTCTGCCCTGCTGCCCCCTGATCATGCAAGTGACCTTCCTCTGGACCCTCTCAATGCTGGCCACATCCCTCCTGAAGTGTGGCACCCAGAACTGGACACAGTACTCCAACTGCAACCTGACCAGTGTCGCATAGAGGGGGAGGATCACCTCCTTGGACCTGCTCATGATGCAACTGGATACATGACAAGGTGCGGTTATTCTTACTGACCGTGTCCGTCACATTGGTGGCCCATGTTCATTTCAGAATTGATGGTGACTCCAAGATCTCTTTCTGCCACTGTGCTTTCGAGAGGGGAGTCCCCCAGCCTATAGGTATGCTGCTGGTTCTTTCTGCCCAAGTGCAGTATCCTGGACTTGTCAGTATTGAATCCCATCCTATTCACATTCGCCCACCCCTGTAACCTGTCCAGGTCCAGTTGTATCCTGACCCTCCCTTCTAGCGTGCCCACCTCCTCTCAAATCTTGGTGTCGTCAGCAAATTTGAACAGGGTGCTTTTCACCCCCTCGTCCAAGTTGCTAATGAAAAAATTGAACAGTGCGGGCCCAAGGACCGAGACCTGGGGGATCCCACTGCCCGCATCCCTCCAGGTCAAATATGACCCGTCCACCACCACTCTCTGGGTGCGGCGCCCTAGCCAATTTGTGACCCATCTGACAGTCACCTAGCTGTTTAATGAAAATGGGGTGGAAGACAGTGTCAAAGGCCTTCCTGAAGTCCGGAAAGACTACATCCACCGTGACACCTGCGTCCAATGATTTTGTGACCTGATCAAAGAAGGCAATCAGATTGGTCTGACAGGACCTGCCGCTAATGAACCCATGCTGGTTGCCCCTGAGCATCATCCCCGCTGCTGTTCCTTCACAGATGTGCTCCTGGATAATTTTCTCAAAGAGCTTCCCCAGGACCGAAGTAAGACTATGCTGGGCCTATAGTTGCCTGGGTCCTCCCTCCTTCCTTCCTTTTTTGAAAATGGAGACTACATTGGCCTTCAGTCTTCTGGTGCCTGGCCAAAGCACCACGAGTGCTTGTAAAGCCATGCTAGGGGCCCCGCGATGATCCCTGCCAATTCCCTCAGCACCCTGGGGTGGAGAGCGTCTGGACCTGCTGATCTGAACATGTCCTGCCCCTCCAGAAGTTCCCTAACTCGATCCTCCCTGACTCTAGGCCTGGCAGAGTCTCTCCTGAGTCCATCCTGAATCCTGGTGGGGGAGATGTCCTGGTCCCTGCTCAGAAAAATGGAGACAAAGAATTGGTTAAAAAGGTCTGCTTTTTCATCTGGTGCAACTACCAGATTGCCAAGCCTATCCTGCAGGGGTCCTACATTGCCTAGTGCCTTCTTTTTACTCCCTATGTATTTAAAAAAGGACTTTTTGTTGTCCTTGCTCCTTGTTGCTAGCCCTATCTCCGTATCTGCCTTAGCCTTCCTAACAGCCTCGAGCGATGGAAGTATAATCCTCTTTGGTGATAGCCCCTCCCTTCTACTGGATGTACGCCTCTTTTCTGGCTTTCAAGTGTTCCTGAATGCCTTTGGTGAGCCAAGGGGGCTTTTGAGCACTCTTGCCCCCTTTGACTCACATTGGGACTGTCACCCCTTGGGCTCGGAGGATCATCTCCTTAAGGAACAACCACTCGTATTGGACACCTAGATCCCCTACTCTCCAGGACCACAATGCCTCTCCTACCAATCTCAACTCGTTGAAGTCGGCCCTCCTGAAGTCGAGGACTACTGCCTTGCTGCAGGCCCTTGACACCCTGCACTGGATGGTGAATTCCCATAGGCGATGATCGCTATCTCCCAGGTGGTCGAGGACCTGGAGTCCCCTCACCAGGTTGTTGCCTGTGGCCAGGACCAGGTCCAGCAGGGCATTCCCCCTGGTGGGACTGTGCACCTCCTGGGTTTGGTGGAGGTCTTGTATCTCAGCTAGGAACATACATGAGCACTCAGACCTGGCTGACTCCTCCTCCCAGCAAATGTCTGGGTAGTTTAGATCACCCATGATGACCACGTCCCTTGACTTAACTGCCTGTGCGAACTGACCCGAGAATTCCCGGTCCAGCTCTTCCCCCTGGTTGGGTGGTCTGTAGTAGACCCCCACCGTTAACTCCCTTTCCCCGTGGCCCCCTTGTATTCTGACCCAGAGCACTTCAGCCTGCCTCTCCTCCGATCCCATCCTGTTAGTTGAGGACGTGTATTGCTCTTTGATGTAGAGCACCACACCCCCGCCTTTCCTCCCCGTTCTGTCCTGCCTATATAGTCTGTAGCCCCTAATGTTTACCGCCCAATCGTGGGTTTCAGTGAGCCCTACTCTGTCTGGGCTTGTACTAGCTAGCCGGAGGGCAAGTTCCTCCTGCTTATTCCCCATACTTTGAGTGGAAATAGGTGTCAATCTTGTCCTCTGCAGCCCTGATCCCCCGTAGCCTGCTCACCTCAGCCTGGAGCTCCCCCACCTGCTCCTCCAGGGCCTGAAGTCAGGCACAGGAGGGGCAGGTGAGGGAGCCAACAGACCCCTCCCTCTCCCACCACTGGCCCCTGGGTCCCCGCTAGGCCACCCCCACAGTGGGGCAGGAGGCCGCCAACCCTACCATGGAGCTCCGTCCAGGTGGAGGCCTCAGAAGAGCCCAGGGTAGGTGGTGCCACTGGGGCGGGACCCCTAGCAGCTGCGCTCCATGTCCTTACCATGTCCGTGGAGCCATGAGTCTTCCTCTCTCTCTTGCTGGAGGCTCCTTCCAAATTACTGCTGCGCACCCACCTTGCACAAACACCGGTGCGCCCTTTCAGAGCGCACCTGTTTGTGCGCTCTGTTTGTGCACGTGGCTCCCTGCTGGCTCAGATAAGAGGGATCTGGGGAGCTCCCCCTCCGGATCCTCTACAGCTGTGCCAGCTCCCTTCTCCGCTTGCACTTACCTGGATCGGCTGCGGTGGGTCGCGCCCCTCACCGGGTCGGCTTCCTTGCGCTGCCGCCGCCACCTCCGCTGACAGTGAGTTGGGATGGTGGGCACACGTGGCTTAGTGGCTTACCTGTCACTATTGTTATGGGAAGGGGTGCCAAAACAGTCAAAACAGACAGAGGAAAGAGAAATAGAGAAGGTGGGACGGGATGATACTTACTGAGAGAGGCAGAGAGCTGCTATCTTCTGTGCAGAGCACACCCGGCAGGGACAAAACGCTGGGGAGCCAACCCTTTCTATCTCAGTGACAACTGCAATAGACGGAGAAACCGAAGGGCTGGAGCCCTGCAGAACACCAGGGTCTGAAGCGGTATGCTTCCACAGCACACCAGTAACTCCTGTTCATTGTCTCTCGCGAGTCCTCACACTTCCTCAAACACCTTCTCACCCAGTCACCTCACACCCTCACAGCCACAAACAGTCCAGTTAGGCCCAAACACACACCAGACAGCCCCAAGATGTCAAGCATAGAGGCTTATATAGGTGCTCTGCACCCCGTACACTACTCCACTATGCATGGCTCTCTGATGTGCACACAGCACTTTGCCTCTATACCTTTTCAGGTGGCTGATATCATTTGGTACCAGTGGGGTTGGGTCGAGCTCACAGCTTGACCTACTTAACACTGAACTCCCTGACTGCAGGCCTGAATTTCCTCTTCAACACCACAACCGCCAACGGTGTAGCTTGTTTGAGCTTTAAGAGCCACTGAAGCTGGAGATCCTGACTGGGGATAAAGCTTGCATCTAACTCAGTTTCCTGCCCTGATACAGATCTGGTAGAGTGTTTTTTACTGTCTGAGGAATCGTGGGATCAGAAGTCTGTTCTCTGTTTTCCATCCAAATAAATTAGTTCCAGTTCAGATCATCTCTCGCTGAAAAGCTTGGTGGCTGAATGCTGTTATTAAGTCAAGTACTAACCAGCCAGCAACAGGACTCCTTAGCATTGTTAAATCAATAGTGATTCTTGCCTTTGAGTTTATACCAAACTAAGAAGTTGGAAAAGAAATGTTTCACTAAGAATATTTCTTGTTCATCCAAATTTGTATTCAGGTTCACATTAGTTTAAATGGTTCTAGTCTCTGACTGAATTCTAATACTAATAGTTCTGAAGTCTTCTTTCACTAGCCATTTACATGGGAAATTACTCACTTTGCTATCTAAACAATGCATAAGTAATTGCTAGGATAAATAGTATTTTAATTAGGTAATTGGGAGCTAAAGAGGAAGATACTTTGCAGAGTGACAGAGATGCAAAAAGTGTTTAAAAAACTAACAATTGTAAAATAAAACCATGTTGTGTGCAGTGATCACATACTAGACCACATCATTTCTCTACATAGTCACCCTGCCTAGTACACAAGCATTCCAGCAAGTCACTACTGGTTACTTTAGCTGTGGACTTCTAGCCAAGGCGGAGATAATGAAATCCTGGTTCAGAGGAAAGAGAAACCAAGAAAACAACTGATTATCAAGGGACGCTAGCTATATCCAATGGTGAATGGTCTGAAAAGGAATGAGGCAGAACTTCTATTCCTTGCCTTGTAACAGCAGAAGGGGTGTTCAGCTTGCTTGGCAGAAAGTGAATTAAAAACAATTGCTACATAGTCTAAAATTGATTCTTGTGGAGCTTGCTATGAAGATAGCACTGACTCACAAAGGCCTGCATTTTAAATTAGACACCTGCAGCTGTAGCTAGAAGTCAAATTAGATTTTGTTTAAAAAATATCTAAGGAAATTGATGTGAATTCAAATGGTAATCAGTGGGAGGTTCCAGTAAGTATCTTTGGAAATCCTATTTGGTGTTTGTGTCTTTAGAGGTTTGTGCATCTCTACAAAGCATAGTATTTCAAGAGCATTTGGATTTTTATCTAGAAAAGAATATTCTGTTACATTCATCAAAGCCTCATTTGTATAGTGCATAATACAGGGTATTATAGCATCATAGAAAACTAGGGCTGGAAGGGACCTTTAGAGGTCATCTAGTCTAGTCCCATGCCTGAAGCAGGATCATCCCTATCTAAAGTATCCCATGCAAATCTGTCTAACCTATTACTAAAAGTATGCAACCCTAGTCAATCCTGTCATACAATCACAATCCTAACCTGCTACAGGTAAAATTAGAGGGAAAACAGCAACCAGTGTTCTGATGCTGCAGGGTTTGTCAAAATATTCTTGACAGATCCAAAGAAGGTGGTCCATGATTGAGGAAGACAAAAGCCCTCATAGTCCATACCAATCTGACCATGGGGTAAAAACCTTTCCTGACTCCAGATGTGGTGATCTGTCCGACCATAACCCTGAGCAAGACCCTCTACAGCAGGGGCAGGCAAAAATACAGCTCAAAGGCTAAATCCAGCCAGCCAGCAGCAGGTCTTTGGCCCACAGCAAGTCCCTCAGTCCTGCCTGGCCCAGGCACCATCTGGCTGCAGCATGTCCTGCTGCCCCCTGTGCACACAGCAGGACTTGGGCAGCTCCACAGCTAACCTGCCTTTCTAGGCAGCCCAGATGGTGGCAGCTCCTTTTGGCTGCCATTGCTGCTGGCCCCCACCCCGGGGTACCAGTGGGGACCTGCACACACAGCCCCACCCCTGCATGCCCCTTGCCAGCTCATGGCTTGCCCACCCAGGCTCAGCAGCAGCACTGCCAGACAGACAGCTGCTCAGCATAGGGTAAAAGCAGCCCCTCTCCCTCGTCACTGCTGGCACTTCCTGGTGTAGCCTCCCAAAGCCCACACAGGGCTGCCCTGTGTCTATGCTGTGTCCCTGCCACCTCTGGGAAGCCCAGAGGGGCAGTGCAGAGCAGATGCATGGCAGCCTGGAGCAGGAAGGCTACACCAGGAAGTGCCGGCAGTGGCAAGGGGGAGAGCCCAGTTTCTCCCCATCCCCACCCCCTGCACTGAGCAACATTTTCTGTCTCTTGCTGAGCCCAAGCGGGCAAGCCCAGAGCAAGCGTTGGTGCACAGGGTCGGGGCTGTGCGCGTGGGTCCCCACTGGAATTGCAGGGCTGAGGCCAGCGGTGGTGGCAGCCGGAAGAAGCTGCTGCCACCTGGGCTGCCTAGAAAGGCAGTCCAGCTGCAGAGCCACCCTAGCCTTGCTGTATGCCCAGGGGGTGGCAGGACACACCACAGCCAGACAGTGCCTGGGCCAAGCAGAACCAAGGAACCTATCATGGGCCAGATTGGGCCTGCAAGTCATATTTTACCCTCGGCTCAAGGGGGCACATGTGGAGGGGCTCCCATGCACACCCCACCATACCTGCAAACCCAACCACACCCTTCCCCACACAATCACATACCCTACAAACACCACACACACCCACACCCTCCCCCCACCTGTGTGCCTCTGGGGGGAGCTCTGTGCACTGCTACTCATACACCCTGCCCCACATACCACAGCCTCCCACAAACTCCATACCCTCCCCTCCACCCGCCCACACCACAGAGACCGTCTGAAACTCAGCTGGACTCTACTGCTCCATTCAAGTCATAGAGAAAACCTTTACCCCCCACCCCTCTACATCCTCCCAATACTATTTAAGAGTAAGACTTCATTTTGAGCTATTATGCAATCACCTCTATACACACAAAGACTTCATCCCTATGGACATGCAGCTCTTAAAGTGAATCAAAAGTATAGCCAAGCCTGAACATGGCTCAGCAATCAAGCAGGCAGTGGTTGAAACAGTCAGTGTGATATGTAAGGTGGGCATTAGGAGGATGAATTGCATGGTATCTAAAAACGCCAAGGAAGTAGCAGTGAGCTTTATGTTGGCAAAGTTGGCTAGCATGACCTTACACTCAGATCAGACAGATGAATGGTAAGTAAATAGGATAGTTAGGTTTTCACCTTAGTGAATTAATAAGCAGCATTTTGGTTTCAATGTCAAAACAAATATGAACAGGTAAGGCAGAAAGCTGTTGCCAGTATGTGGATGGGTTTAGGACTGTAGAAAGATACAGAAGCCAGAGATGTGAACAAACATAATACATTTTTGAAAAATAACGTATAGGAATGATCAATTGTAGCAAATACAGCACAAGAACAGGCCCTTGCAATTAGGCAGAAGGAAACTCATAAGAGCAGTTGTGGCAGTAGAATTTTTTTTTATTGCAGTAGCACCTGAAGACCTCAAGTACAGTTAGGCCCCTTTTACTACCAGGTGCTGTACAAACATGCAACTGCCCCTGCCCCATCAGCTAGCTCATGTATGACACTGATCTAGAAAGGGGAAGGGAAAAGAGGCAAGACACAGCTTTACCCAATACCACACAGCAGATTACTGGGGAGCTGGGACTATAACCCAACATGCCACAGGGCAATCCTAGAACTACCAGTCAGGCCAAAGTCTAGGCAATAAGAGAAGGCAGCATGCTTATGGATTAAAAGATATAGCAAAGTAAAAGGGCTACAGTGTGTTTAGGGAACCCATCCTCAAAGCTGGTGGCTAGTAAAGGAAGTTTACATTCACAAAGTAGACAAACACAGTGGATTGATTGTCTTTTAAACATTGTGAACTAAAACCTTGAAAGAAGTTGCAACTGGGGCCTGATTTGTATGCATTGAATGCCCTTCCATTCTACTAGGCGCACACAGGTTTTATTACCTCTTCTGATGGTAAGCTTAGGCTATGATTTTGATAGACATTAACTACTACTGAAGAGACAACAATCCATACCACCATTCAGTAGTCCCAAAGGAGCTTCTGAGATATGCCTGATATTCCTTCACACATAAAGAGGGACAAGTGTAATTAAAATGTAACAATGACTACAGCTAATGATCTACTGCAATATAAAAGTACATTGCAGTATAATTAATCCTGGTTAGATTTTTTTTTTTTGTAAAAGGGGAAGGGGTTAAAAGTGGAATAAATAAAATGTTCTACTACAGAACAGTCTTAGAAAAGAGCTACTGAACAGTTTTGTAATTATGTCCAAAAGGTTTTACCTATAACTAGAACATTTGTAGTCTTTCAATAATTAGATTGTAATGCGCATGGTAAAATGTGAACTTTGAAACATACTTTAAGTGGTCACCACTTGTATGTATACTACATCCCCTACATAGCACCATTTTTCTACCTCCTTCCTTCCAAGCTCCCAGTCTGCTATGTTTCCAACTTAATACATTGCCAGCAGAAGTAGATGGACTTCAGGGATGGAAGTCATGGTCAAGCTTCACATATCATGATAGTCTTTTTTAAAACTGATTTTTAAAAATGGCTTCTTCTATCCACAAATAGAGAATGACAAGGGTTAAAGTTTCTACTTGAGTAAGGAGCAAACTTGGACTGCACCCTGTACTACAGTTGCCCATGTCAAGCACAGGATTCCATACTAGGTCACATGTCATGAGAGCAGCAGGTTGGGGGCTGTATATCACCACTATGTTAAGTGGGCATGTGATGTGAATACTGACAGCAACCCTGGCAGCTGGAGATAACATAGGCTATAGTGCTGTGTAACTGCAATACAGCAAATCTCGATTCAACAAATAGCAATACAAATCCAGACATTAACAGGTTATATTGTAATTCATACAAAAACTTAAAATCTTAACATTATAAATACTTGTGCATACTTAGTTAATAGGGCATTAAGCTAAAAATACCAAAAGATCACCACTGACTTTTAAGCTAAAGCTTGTGCATTTGCACACAATTAAGATACAAGAAGTACGAGGCCTGAAATAAAGACAAGCAATCAAGGTAACAGACTTCTGGACCAAACAGGTAAGGCTGGAAAGGGATCAGCTTTATCTGAACTTGCAGCCTGGAGCTTTATACAAATTGCAAAATCATTTTGATGGTGCCAATTTTATTTAATGTTTTTAAAAACACAACTATGGTTGAGTATTACAACAAAAACAATAGCAGGTAGTGACGCAAAGTAGTCCTTCACTCATCCACTAATGCATACAAAACAAGCATCACAACAGATATTCACTGGCCAGTTTAAGATGTCTGACACTGAACACCACCTCTGGGATGATGCTCATCATCTTCATAGGCTTCTCCATTATAGTGGTGTCTTCTTTCTTGAGCTGGGTCAAAGTCCACCAGATCTACTTGCTCCATTTCTTCAGTCTCTTCCACCTCCTGCCTTGCAGGCAGCAGCTTTTCCAAAAGAGACAATTTATCAGAAGAAAGAAAACCACTATCTGGGAAGTTTACCTGGGGGAAGGGAAGAGGAAAAGAAATAGATCAGTAAGAGCTGCCATTACTCCATTTTGCTAGGTGACAGATTTTCTCCACTATTACTAGGGCAGGCTTACTCCTACAGAACAATCACCCTGCAACACACAGAGGACTCCTACTCTCCCTAGTGCTGAGATCCCCAATGATGAAGCAGGCAAATTCAAGCAGGCATGTAAAGTGGTTTTACTTCTCATCTAACCAGATATGCTCCACAGCTTAAACTACAGGCATTTTCAATTAAGTAGTCTTACATTTTTTTAATTTTTTTTGGTCTTCCTTTGAAGGCCTTCTTCCACAGCAAATGAAGTATGAAGTACTTGGGTAGTTTCATGTGTCAGCTTTACTCTAAACCACATCATCCTACATTGGTTTCAACAGTGCTTTGCAGAACAGAGAGAAATGAGCAAAATAAACTCTGAATGCCTCAAATCTTCTTAACTACTTCACAGGAGTCAGATTCCCAATATGTTCAGTACTTAAATACATTAATCTGATGCATCTTTTACCTTGAACTCAATGATCAAACGCCCCTTTTCATATGGTCTGCGATAAATGGGCATGCCCTCATTCAGCACACATTTAACATCTCCATGCTTCACAACCTGGCCTAAAAAAACCGCAAAGAAAACAAAACCCCAAACACAGGATAAGCTGTTATTTGGCAGGCAGAGACAAGGGAGAAAAGTTAAGAGTAAAGCAAAGAACTAAAAAATAATAATACAACATATGAAAATGATTTTAAAATGTCTAGTTTTAAAAATCTTGCAAGTCACATGTAGGAGTCTGCACACCTAAACTCCACTGTTCCCCTTCCACAACTATGCAGGTTTTTCTTTGTTGTCCATAACCTGTACCGAGATGGCATATAAAGATTTGTTCCCTCTTAAGGCTAAAATGTCTCTCAAGTAGCAGCTGCAGCTTGCCTCAACTCAGAAGCAATGAGTGATTACATTCTCTAGGTCTGTTCATACATCTTGAAGCCTACTTATGCAGATACGCACTCTAATTGGACACCCATTTGTGAATTTTGAGAGCATCTTCCTGGGAGCCAGAACCTTCATGAAATTCCTATAAGAATGTAGTGCATTTAGGAAAAATATTGTTTATTTACTAGGGAAATCTCTTACAGCAATTTGGCTGAATTGGACCACAAGTTCAAGTTACTTTAAATTGACAAGGTTGCTAGCTTCAGGCCAGAAAACTTGAAACAACTTTCCCATCATTTTAGGCTTTGAACCAGATTTATATTCCATCAGCTCCAATTAAGTTGCACTTAACACTTTAGACTATAAATGGACTAACTGAACTAAAAGTCTAATGCAAGCAGCTTAACAGCTCTTCAGACATCTGCTAGATGCACTGATACTTAGTGGAAAAGAATCAGTTTAGAAAGCAACACACTTACCAGGATGAGAGGTAATAATTATATTTCTATTATCCAGCGTTGTGATAGGTTTCTGAAAGCCACATAGTGCCTCAACTAGTTGTATGTCCATGCACATGACTAGGTCCTCACCTCGTCTACATTTGAACAAGTAAAAAACGCCACTCAGTACAGTATTCAGTAAAAATTGGGAATAGTATGCAAAGAGACTAGAGATTCATTATACCTTTGGATTTGAGAAAGTAATGAAGATGCTGTAGAACTGGGTTCAAAGGAGCTAAATTAGAGGGCAAGCCTTGATGACTAAAGAGGGAGCAAGAGGGGTTAGAACAAAGTCAGCCATATAGGAGCTGAGGCACTCTACTATGGAGGAGATGTGGATTTTGGATTATTTTTGTTTAATTAAAAAGGTACTAAAATTAATCTGGAATCTCAAGATGTGGGAAGGCAGGGCAAGGGGTGAGGGGAGGAAATAGAACCACTTCAAGTATAGAACCCCATCCTCCTGCATGGGAAGTCTCAACAAGGACAGCAGAATAAGGTGAATCTGTAAGAAACTGAACAATGCCAATTAAAAAGAAAGTCCATTCTTGGCTACAAAGCTGAAGTACAAGTCAGGATTTTTAGATGCAACTGAGAACTGCTGTTAAGTCAGTAAGCATTAGACCTGTTATGATGAATTGGAGGAGTGGAAGGCAGGGTAGGAAGTCAATTAAAACAATGGTACAGGTATGGGCATTCGGGTCAGGGAGATCAAGATCTCCATCGCAGTGTTTTACAAGAACAGACCAGTAGTTCTCAGCCAGTTAGGCTCTAAGCACCCTTTGGTTAGAAACTCAAAAGGCACCCCTCAAAAATGCCAGCTTTTAGCGCTCACTCATTTTCTTGATGGGGGAAGAAGAGAAGAGGAAGGAGAACTGCTTTTTTTGTTGCAAAGAATTCAGAAATACCAACACATCAAAATGTTATTTGAGATGTCTGGTTTTAAAATCTTGTAAGTTGCACATAGGTGTCTGCACACCTAAAACAAACAGTGCTAATATTGCACAGGGCGCATAAAAGGATCTCATGGCGCCCCAGTTGAGATTTACTGGAAAAAGAAATGCATGGGAGTTGCAAAGATTTTATGATGCTTAGTCATAAAATTAGGTATCACATTTTATTTCCCCAGTATTTAAGAAAAATTAAACCACCATGAGCACGTTTGACTTCACTAGCATTTCAGGTTTTAACAGCCTTGAATTAGAACTGAAGACAAAAAAAAAAAAAAAAAAAGGGGAAAACAAAAAAAATACAATTTTTTTTTTTTAAACAGATAGAGGCTCCAAAATGGTCGGATAAGGAATCTTAGAAATTGGTGAGATTTGTAACAAAGATTATGTCATTTAGATTCCAGTTAACAATACCACATTTGTTAACTTCGAAACTATGATTAGTAGATTTGTAGCATCATAAGGAGTAGCTGTAGGGAAAAATGACTGGCTGCAGAAGCTGGAAGATTACCAATACAGCTTTAAAAGAATTTGTCTTAAAACTTACTAAACATTTTAATAAACTGTGCTATAGAACTGGAGTAAGCTGATGAAATTTGATGACAGCAGAGTAGAAAAACGTTCTGGGTATTTGCACATCCTCAGGGCTTCACGATAACCCTTCAAAATCTACTGGGGTGATAGCAAAGAGTAGTTCAGCATCTTAACAGATTTTCTAGAAGTCCGCCATTATGGACTGTACATGGAAAAGAGCAGTACAAATCTATTGTACTGATCAGTAGTACTGATCTTGGTGGATTACTGTTACCACCAATAAGCCATTATATGAAAGGTGTATGCCAAGCAGGATCTGGTACCAATAACAGATCCTAACAAGTTTGCTAGTACTGTTACTAACACAATTCTGGCACTGGCCTTGGTAAGAGTGCTGTTCTTAATAAATTCACATTTTATTACTAAATCACTGATAAAGGATTATTTATGGTACTGTGATTCAGTTCCAAAATCAACTCATTTCCATTAGGAACTGACAGATCTGGACACCGAGTGGCTCATGTGCCAAGAAATACGAGGGGGAGCCCTCAGAGACTGGGTCCCTAGAATGAATAGTACAAGTATTCACAACATTTCCAAATTTTATTGGTGTCAAGCTTGCATTGGAATTCTAACTGACAGTTAAAGAGAAAAAAAAAAAAAACAGAAAAAAAAAACAAAACTCAGAGGTGACTAGATCTGCCGTTAATTCTCACTCAGGTGAGAATTAAAAAAAAGAAAAGCCAGACACTTACTGGTGACAAAAGTTACAAATCTCATTTGTACAAAACATCTTAAGCTTTACCAATAGGGACCCCACTTAAGAACTGGAGTTTAGTCTGTTTCAGGGGGACAAGTAACAAAGCCAGAGTGCAGTGGCCTGGCCTAAAAAGATGAAGGATTAGAGCTAGCATCTACAAGCACTTTGAGAGAAGAAAAAAAAAAATCTTACATCTGCTAAGCACCAAAAATACTGACCATTTTAAGATTAAGTGCACAAATATTCCTGCATATATGCAGTGAATCTATACACTAACCAAATACTTGGCTTAGTGCAAACTAGCTTATAACAAACACCAGGAAAACAGAATTAAGTGCTGTTCAGTTTCAGAAATTAATAAACTGAATCATAATCTGTGAAGTTTTTGGAGAAGGTTCTCAGAGTGTAAAAGGAAGATGTATGAAGTTTTTACCTTGTAAATGTAGGGTGGTCTTTTTGATCCAAAACAATAATGATATCACCTGGTTCCAATCCTGGCTCTTGGTCCCCTTCACCATGGAATGTTATTTTCTGACCATCCTTCATTCCTATTACAAAAGGACTAAATTAAGACAAAAAGCTACAAAATAAACATATCACTTCAGCAGATACCATCTTGCGTAAGAAAGAAAGCTCCTAAACAGGTTCTTGTATTACACAATTCTCAGTCTATACATAACCAATCAACCATCTCCATAGCCATGTTTGATCTAACACCAGGCATGGGCAAAATGCAGCCCATGGGCTGGATGTGGCCTGCCAAGCCACAGTCTCCAGCCTGCAGGGCCTCTAAAAAATTTTTATAAAATTAATATTAATCTGCCCTTAGCTGCCCATCATGCAGCCTACAATAGCTTACCAAAACTCAGTAAGCAGCCCTCCACCCAAAATAATTGCCCGACCAGGGGTTGTGATATTTAGCAGCAGGGGAGCAGTGGAAGTTCCACACACCTGGATCTAGCCAGCACCCCCTTCCCACCCACCCCCAGAATCTACCCCCAACCCATTCAGAGCAGCCTGGCTGCTCCGTGCCTTAACCACCATCCCTGCATATCCAGATGAGGGTCTCAAGGTCAAACCACTCCCCCACCCCCACACTCATCAGGCCCAGGCCATCACCCCCCTCCCCCACCTCCATGACTGCTAACCACTTCCCCTTATATGAAAGGCAGCCATTACATCACCCCAAATCAGTCATGCCATGAGGAAAATCCTCATTTTTTTCCAATCTCCTATACATTCTAGTTCTTTTCAGTTATTTAAAAGTGGGTAGCATATTCTCTAACTAAAAACTGAGAGCCAAAAACAGCCCATGGTCAATTAGTGAACCCTAGAACAGGGGTTTTAAACCTTTTAATAAGTGTACCCCCAGCAGCTAGACAAGGAGCAGGGAGGGTGGGGGCATGCAGCTGGGTGCAGAGCAGCGGCAGCTGCCACATGCTGGGGGGGGGATGGGGGGGCTTGCATCTGGCCAGCACCTGTGCAGCTCATGGAGGGGTACAGCTGCCCCCCTACTCCTGGGAGGCAGCAGCACGGGGTGGTGGGTGGCAGCACTGTCCCCACTTACTTGCATGTACCACCAAGGCTATGCATCATACTTCCAGTTGATAACCCCTGCCCCAGAACCATTACACTAAACCCTCATAATAGTTTTACTATTTTTCCTGCCTTAAAAGTACTTTATAAAGATTTAAGCAGAAATGTAGCAGGCAGCTACTGATAAGGGCAAGATGCTTCGACCAGTTGCTGGTGCAGTGTTTGTCAAACTCATTAAGTATCCGACAACCCAACGTTCTTGCACCGCTGCACCATCTTTGGTCATCTCTTCAGAAATAAAAGCTTTTTTTGCATCTGTTATTCAATACAGTATTATTTCCCCTACCACGTAAGAGCTGCTTATAAATGCCTAAAGTTCATTATACATTTGCCAGATACTGTTCAAGAAATATATGGAGGTCAGTGTAGCACCTGGAGCATGTATGTCAGGGTGGCTTAACAAATTGAGTTCTAAGCACAGTGGGCTTAGGACTACTTTTACACTCCATTACTGTAGCAGACCTGGTTCCTCTTCACACTGAAACACAGCAGAAGTGATCGGGATCTGCAGTCCCAAGGACTAGATGACCAACCTCTGAACAAACAGGTTAGATCAGAAAAACAAAGCAAAGAATGTCTGTTTGATGGCTAGGTAACAGAGTCAGCATTGACTCACCAGCCTGTTCTTGTGTGTCAATTTTTCCTGAACCTGACATTTGCTTGTTTAGCAGTCAATACATAAAACAGTAATATTACAGGTTGTGAAATTAATGCCCATGTACAAGTCAGTGCAAATTAATATACACTAGCCATCAACTTTGTTTATTAAGAGCCAAGACCTACACTTGAGACTGTAGAACCTGTTTACCACTCTAAACAGCAAAGCTGCGTACCACATTATTGCTGTGCAATAGATTAATGCCAACACTGGGCTCCTTTGAAAGACATGTTTGAAGCTTTAATGAATTTCAACTTCCATCAGTTGTGCAAGGTTAATCAAAAGAGTATATTCAAAAGACTTACCCTTATCAATATGAACTTCTAAAATCTTCTTCTCCCGAACAATCTTCCTTCCAGTGCAACTTTTACACCTGTCCTTTGGACTGATACGCTCCCCATGGCCCTGACACTCCATACAGACCGACTGGATTTGCTGAACCATTCCTGGTCCTATCTGGTGAATTCTTATTTGCATGCCTGTACCTCTGCAGTTGGGACAGCATTCCACTGCACCCTTCTTACCACCTCGACCTGATAACAAGACAGCAGAATGAAAGGATTTGACAACTGAAATGAAATCCAAATAAAACACATCAAAAGTACACTTATTTAGTTTATTGAAAACAACTGCTTTCACCTAAACATATTTTTTGTTTATCTTTACAAAAAATTGAGTTAGTGGAATTCAGTTAACAAGTTCCCTGGAGTTCTAGACTGTAGTACAGAAAGCTTACCTTCACATTTGTCACAAATCACATTCTTTTGCAGAGCCAGTTTTCTTGTTGCCCCATTGTACAAGTCTTCTAAACTTACTGACAACTGATGAACAACATTTTTACCTGTAAAGAACACACTCATTATTCCAGACTCTGTAATTCCATGCTAATCAGATTTTGTTCTCTTATTTCTCAACTGAAATCGACTAAGACCCAATTCTTCAGAACATAGCACATTTACTAAAGGGAAATACTTTAACACAAGCCAACTGCCCATCAGGAATGACAGGGGTCAGGGTGTAGGGACAGAGCAGGCAGGGTGAGGGATAGGAGGGGAGGGAGGAAGCTTGCTCCACCATCTCCTTGGCCAGCATCCCATGCCGCCTCCAGGGAACAAGGCTCCATCTCTGCCATCATGGCAGCACTCTGCCATGCACTGCCTCCTGTCTGGAACACCCTTGGAGCACTCTGATTGGTTGTTTCCCTCAGCACTGTGATTGGTTGTCTCAGCAGCCAGTCAAGAGTGCAGATACAGCATTACAGAAAGACTAAGGTTTTTATTATATTAGAATACATAAAAAAGCAAGCAAGCATAGGACTCATAACATAGCACTATTAAAGTACTAACAAGAAAGATAATGGACCTATGCTAACATTTCCCCCCACCATTCAACATGGCTGAGAAAAAGCAGCAACTTCTTACTTCATGTAACATGAAATTTGGAGTCTATGGCTGTACTGTTTTTTGTACTAGTCTCACTGTGGTGCATGTGTGCGCGCGCGCGCACACACACACACACGTAAGTAAGGAAGAATTATATAAAGATGTGTTCTAGTTAAACAACATTAATCTGTTAAATCACTTAAAAAAGCTTAGGTTAAATTAAGAACTAGACAATTTAGTGCATTATAAATATGATGAAATAACCACCTCAAACTATGACTTCCAAACCTCTAAATACTGGAAGCTCTAAGGGAAGAGGGACCGGAGACAGATCAGTCCAAGAGGCCCTACATAAGTTTTTTCTTGCTACTCTGCTACAAAACAAGGATACCATCCTAGATCAGTGGTGCTCTATATTCTAGTCCTGCCAGCTGGATCCTATGCAGGGAATCAGTCCCTAGGCTAGGTCCAAAGGAGGGTCAGGCTGCAGTTATGCCAGCCCAGCCCCACACACTCGATCTAGTGCATGGGGGCACGTCACCCGACCTGCAGGGCACTCCACAGGTTTAGGACTAGAAGTTGGCAGTATGGCAGCTGTGGCAGTATTAAAGTGCTGTAACTTAATCCAGAGCAGCAGCAATTAATGTTTCCCCTCCCTCCCTATAAAACTTTCAGGCCTCCAGGGAGCCCCATGGACTGCAAGACATGCCCCACCACCCAAGCTGGAGGTTGAGCACTACTGCCTTAGACAGACCCGTTCCGACCCAGAAGAGTATTTATGTTCTTTAGAAAAATTTGGCACATGCAGTTAGCTTAATCTTCAAACCTCAAGTTTTAGACAATGACACCACTGATGTCTTGTGACACCTACCTATTACTATTCATACGAAGTTAATATTATAACTCACTATACACTAAATATTCAGAAAATAAGCTTTAGATTACTGTGATAATTTTCTTGTTTTCAAGCACCAGCATAGGAAAACTGGCACCATTTAGTTTATAAAAAGTGTAGCTACTCCATCTTTGTCTTTTCTTGAACTCTAACAGAAGCAAGTATGATCTCTCTCAACTGTATTCAGGGAGGGTCCGGTATATGCTCGACTGCCAGTGTACCCAACGTGATAAAAAGGTTGCATACCTCGCCTCTCTCTTTGCATTCTTCCACCTCCTCCAAAGAACATGTCAAATATATCCATGGGGGACCCAAAGCTACAGCCAGAACCACCCTCTTTAATGGCCTGCTCGCCTCCTTTGTCATACAAGTCTCTTTTCTTGGGATCGGAAAGAACTTCATATGCTTGAGAAATCTGTTTGAACTGCAACAGAAACCAGCACTTTAACTAAATCCACAAGGAGATATGACAAAACCAGACATCCCCCCCCACATCCCTTTAACGCCAACAATTATTAGCTTTAAAACAGCAGCCCATTTGGAGCTGGTGAATGAACTTCAACCGAGCCAGCTTTTACAGGGGAACTTTCCCCAGCCCCGTTCCTGCTGCGCTCAGGCACAGCCACAACCAGAAACCCAAGCTGGGAAGAGGCCTGGTGCTTCCGCAGCATTCCTGGATCAGGGACCGGAGCAAGAGCACCCACAGGGAAGCCCCGCAGGAACCTCTCATAAAGAGAAAGTGGGAAGAGAAGAGAGGTGAGGCTCCCACCCCTCCCCCCCACACCGCTACCTTCTCGCCCTCGTTGGGGTTTTTGTCGGGGTGGTACTTCAGCGCCAGCTTGCGGTAGGCCTTCTTCAGCTCCTCCTGGGACGCGCTGGGCTTCACTCCGAGCACATCGTAGTACGTCGTTTCTTTCACCATCGTGAACGGCGACCTGCGCGAGCCGCCTCCGTCAGCCGCGCAGCACCTCCCGCGCCGCCCCGCCCCTGTCCCAGCGACCCCGGGGTCAAAGGGCCGGCAGCGCCGCGTGGGCCCCAAGGCTGCGCCCCCCAACCCCAACCCGGAGCGGCAGCGGATCCCTACCTGGCTGGCTGGCTCCGGCGGCTCTCGCGGCCTCCCGACTTTTCTGGAAAGTTCTAAGCGGGGCTCGGCATCCGGAGCCTTTTGTAGCCGGGGAGGCCCCGCCCCGGAAGCTTCGTCCCCTCGTTGCCGGGTAGCTGGGGGCCGGAGGGGGCGGAGCGCGGGAGCGGGAGCCAATGGCAGCCTCTGACCTCGCTTCACCCCGCCGACTCGGGCCGCCCGGCTACAGCCCCCAGCGTGCGCTGCGGCCGCTTGGCGGACTACGACTCCCAGCGGGCGCCGCGGCCGAGTGGGGTGGGGGGGTGCATGCTGGGAGTTTTGCCGCCCCGCGCCGCGGGTTGTGTGATGTATTTCCTGGTTTAACCTTGTTTCCAAACGAAGCACCTGAAACACGGGCGGGGCGATGCAGAAATGAGGCAAAATGCCAGAGTTGCAAGTTTCAAGGCGCCACCGCTCTCGGGCTGGCGGTAGAAGCGCTCCATGCAAGGAAACTTGGGATGCCGCCCTGCACAGACGTGCGTTAGCAGGGCCGTGACTTTATGCGGGACCGGTACGTTTTGTACCTCGTTAGGGGAGAAAAACCCCGCAGATACACCTGCTGGGCGGTGGCTAACATAGCTCCCCGGGGAGCCTTTGTGTGCACCAAGCACTCCTGAGGAAAGAAAGGCCGGATTTCCGGGGCTCAGTTAGTTCAATCACAGACTTCCTTTTGCTATCGTTGCACAACCTGCCCGCTCGGTTTGAAAGATGGCAAATGAGCCCCCCCCCCCAACACTGAGCGGAGGAATAGTTCAAGGTGAGCCTAGTTCCATTGGAAAACACGGTGGGGGTTCACCACTGTAGGTAAACACCATAAGAACAGAAATGCGAAACCGATTGCGATTGCCCTAAGGTGAGTGACATGCGTACAAGTAAAGATAAAACATTGTAGATTATGACAGATTTTATTTTAGCTGGATGCCGTTATGGCTTTGTAATCTGAAGTAGTTTGATATTCCCAGCATTTATTTTCTTCCTAAAAGAAGGGCCATCCAGAAGATAATGTATATGTAAATAAACAGCCTTCCAGAATTGAGGGCTGGGAGAGGCCCAAAGCCTAGCTATTACAAAGTAGGACCCCAAAACAGAGATTCTTAATACCCAATTCAGCAGCAGATTGTGCGCCCTCATGTGGAGACAGCTGAAATAAAGCGGGCTCAGTAGCTAGTAAAAATGGTTGAGCACCTTGCAGGAGCACATCTGGTACAAGTATATATGCTGAATGCATATTGGACTGCTTTTTAGCCCTCCCTGCTGTCTTTGGGTCGACAGGACTGAAATAGGTGATTTCTCACTTCTGTTCAGTAAGCTTTGTGAAGCGAATCAGTGGTCTCTTGTCATTTCTAGAGCATAGATATTCTGCTTGTAGAAATCTGGATGTGGAAGGACAGGCGCCATATTTCCTCTGCTTTTGCACAATGCTGAGCATAATTAAATGCTCAAACGATAATTGCTGTGACTGTCAACAAGAATGCCTGAGAGGCTGAAGGTAGACGTTTGCACACATTCCTATAGCACCATTTCCTGTTTTCATCTTGCCTTCAGTATCAGAAACTGAATTTTAGAAAGTCCGTCCCTGTTGGATCGTGCAGCTTGATTATCTCTCTCATTCTCTGCTGCCCCCCTGCCTTTTTTTTTTTTACTCAACACACATTTCAGAGTGCTTGAGGGATGTCCCATTATCCTGCTGTGTATCTGAATCATCTTCTATTTTCCTCTTCTCACTGAGATCTCTACAGCTTGCTCCACCCTGGGAAAATCCATTCCTATGCTTGCTTCACCTGTCGCAACCCAGTAATACTTGTCATTTTCCTCCAGCTCTTTCCTACTGCTCCATTTTCCCACTGTTCCTGCTGTCTTCCTCTACCAGCCCTTGGCAGGACTTCTTGTCCTTCAGGTGAGGATGCTGGCAAGGGCATGAAGGGAGACTAGCAAAAGGGAGGGCAGATTGTGGGACAGTTGAGAGAACAATAGAAAAAATGTGCTCCTTGTCATGAGCCTTATTTAAGGGGTCTGTATGCTGTGTTCTGGTGGGAGGACTTTATGTAATAAAATGGCCACGAGTGTCTACGGGCATGTGTAGATGAAACAGGGATTAATGTTGAGCGCACCTGAAAATTTTAACCCAGCTTTGTTTTGGTGCGGTGCGTTTGTGTTTGCACAACATGGCACTTTTGAGTGACTTAAGTCTCCTGTGTCATTGCCTGCAGATTTCAGTAGGGGGAGGTCAAATACCAATATACCCCCACCCCCAATGTCTTTCCTAATGTATTACAGCAGGAGGCACATGTAAGCCCGCTTCCTCTGTCCCTGCCCCTGGCCTCTCACTGGGAGTCTCCCCTGGGCACGGTCACCCCAAAAACCTTGTTACTTGCATCCACCTATGCTCGGTCGGTCGGTCTAGTCTCTCTCCATCAGTATGCGACCCCAAAGACCCCCATCACAATCCCCATTCCAAAAATAAGCCATGTGAATCCTCCCATCCTGTTCCTTTCCCTTCCCATCCCACCATGTTACAAATACATGTGCTTTTTCTTTTATTTACTTTATAGCTGCTATAATACCACCAAATGTTCAGGGTTCAGAGTAGTGGGTGGGTGGGTGTTTGTTGCTGCCTGATTGACTGGCAATTGCTGTCGATGATGTTGGTGGTGGCAGTGAGCAGGCGAGCTCTTCTGTGGTTTATTGTTGTTGTTGTTGTGGTGTTTTTGGACTACATTTCCCAGCATCCCGAGCTCACTGATCTTCATGCAGTTTTCAGTGGGGGCTCCCATTGAAACCTTCCCGTTCCCTGCCCAGTACCACTGTCAGTCTGTTTGTGTAGTGCATCACACGGCTTTTGGGGGTGTGTTATGAAATGTTTTATAAATGTTTTTGAAAATGTGGGTTGCTGTTCAGCTTTGTCCCCCACCCGCCTAGCCCACCAAAAGCTATAGTTAACCTTCTTGCCCACATGGTGGGGGGGGGCTTTTTCAGATGTAGGTGATAGTGTGTAATGCCCCCCCCAACCACTTACAGGCTGGAAGCAGCAAACCCCTAGCCCAGTCCACATTTCCTACCCCTTCCCCTGACCGTCCTCCCCTCTACCCCCCACATCCGCAACACCGCACGCCCTTGTCTACAGACACAGATTTAAAGTGTAAATCAATTTATTTTAACATAACCAAGAGAAAGAACAAAGTGCTCTTAGGTGTTGTTGTCAGTAATATATCCCGCCAGACAATCATGCACAAGGGCCACCCGACCAGCCTCTCCTTGAGGATTTCTCCTCGGTCCCTGTGCTGCTGCAGCCTGGACACGTCTCTGTTGTCTGGCCACTGCCTGTTGCACTGCTTCTTCCCGCAACTCCTTGAAAATCTCCATGGCTCTCACAGATACTGTGTAGCATGCAGACTGCCACTACAAAGGCCATGATATTTTCTGGCTCCATTTCAAGCTGGCACATAAGCGCCCTCCGTCGTCCTTTCAGTCAGCCAAACGCACATTGCACAGCCATCCTGCAACTGCTCAGGTGGTAGTTAAAAATCAGCTTCTGCATATCGGTGACATTCCCTCCATAAGGCTTCATGAGCCAGGGCTTTAGGGAGTAGGCAGCATCTGCTAATATAACCGGGGAACAGCAACACCACGGATCACTGTCTCCTACACGCCAGGTGCGTAGTGTCCTTTCTCCACGAGGCCAGGAAGAGGGGAGTTTCTGAACAAACATACATCATGCGCGCTGCCAGCCCACCCAGTATAAATGTTTGTGAGCCAGCCCTGGTGGTTCACCACGGCTTGCAGGATCATGGAGGCATATCCTTTCCTGTTTGTGAAATCCCTCCCCCTCCCCACAGGGCACAGCACTGGGATGTGAAAAGCCCTCATGCAGTTAGGGAATCCCTTGTCATTGAACCCATCTGTGAATTGCTGCAGGTTCACCAGGTGGATAATTTTGTTTGAAGCGATCTCCTTTAGCAGCTGGCATACCTCACAAGTTGCCAACCTGACCATGCAAGCAGCCATGCCAAGCTGGTTCGCAACGTTCAACAAGGAGAAATGCAAAGTGTTGCACCTAGGGAGGAAAAATGTCCAGCACACCTACAGCCTAGGGAATGACCTGCTGGGTGGCACGGAAGTGGAAAGGGATCTTGGAGTCCTAGTGGACTCCAAGATGAACATGAGTCGGCAGCGTGACGAAGCCATCAGAAAAGCCAATGGCACTTTAGCGTGCATCAGCAGATGCATGACGAACAGGTCCAAGGAGGTGATACTTCCCCTCTATCGGGCACTGGTCAGAC